TCCTCCTTAGATCTTCTCATGAACGTCCAGAACTCTTCTTGTATGGAAAGCTCATCATTTCATAGTCCTTGCCACCTATTCCTTGTCCTACAAGCAAAAGAGAACTAATTATGGCATGTGGCATACATGGTAAGTAAATATATAAGATATATATTATGTAATCCTTCTCCTAAAGGATTAGGATTCCATAATACATACTACAATAAATATATACCATATATTATTAATAATAAATATTAGGAACTTAATTAAATCATAAGTAAATAAATAGAAAAACTTCCCTTTAATTTATTTTGCTTGCTTAACAAGAAATCTTCTAGAAAACACTTAGGTTTGTCGGACATGAAGCCAAACCAATGTTCTAACAATATATGTTGATATGGTGCTTTGTGTTGAATTCATTATGCGTAGCTAAATTCGATTGCTAGGGATAGGAGATGATTGTTCTTGTTTAACGTGTATTTTTCGGGCTTGATTTGTTCATTCTTGTGTGAGTTGATTTAATTCGGAATTATTGAATTCTTGTTCGATTGATTGATATAATCGAAGAGTGACACTTCGGTCTTGCAATTGGTGACAATTGAATGTTAATTTGTCGAGTCAGAGCTTGATGATTCTAAATGATTAGTTGATTAAACACCTTCTAATTGAATTAGCGACTATTAGAACCGAAAGGGAATAAGTCATAGACCTAGGCTCACATGAGGTAGATGATTTCGTAAATGAATAGTCTATAGGTTTTGGATTGAAATACGTGCTTGTCGATGACCCGTCCCTTGTTACGAAAAGTTATTGGGATTGGGATAATTGGCATGTATTGTATGCTCGAGCTTGCTCGTCTATTTCAATCCCTTGTTACGAAGAGTTATTGGGAGCGAACCGCTAGATGTTTAAGCGAGAGTGTCAATCTAGAATAGAACAATTGATAGCCCGACTTTTCTAGAACTTGGATTAATTATCCCCGATTCCCTAGCTTTTCCATCTTTGTTTCGTTTATATTTTAGGTAGATTATTTGTTTTTATATTATTTCTTAGTTGGTAATTTTTCCCTCTATTTGATTAGAGTGTTTAGGTTTTATTTTCTTTTTATATGTGATCGATACCAAAGCTGAATTATGAACAGCCTTCCTCGTGAGATCGACCCGGGGAAAGAATCTTTCGATTCGATACTCGGTAAAAATACTTACAACACATATGAACAAAAAATATACCTTTTAATAACTAAAAATAAACTACAAAACAACTAGAAATAAATTGTTTATTTTTTATTATATTTACATAAACTGAAATTTATTATGAACAAAAAATAAAGTAATCCTAAACTACAAATAAACTCGCATGAAAGGAGCTTCGGATCGACCCCAACCTCTTTCTACAATATGGTTTAGTGCTCCATCTCCGCCATTAAAAAGCCCCCGTCCAGATCGGATCCCTTAAAAATAAACAAAACAAAATATAATCTACAAATAAACTACCTAGCTTTGAGATTAAATTCGACAAAGCCATTGAGCTCGCATATCCATCTAATTTTTCAGATTTGATATGCTATGGCCTCTTCTTGGATTTGGTTGGATGCCTGAGCACAAATCGGACCGTTGAAATTCATCGTTGTCGAGCCTTTTCAATTTCTTCTCACCATTGTCAAGTGATTTAATTGACTATTTCAAATTCTTCTCACCACCATCAAGTGATTTCAATTTTAATTTCATGGTGGCGTGGTGCTTGTGTTGGAGAAAGAAAAAAATAGAGGTGATATGTATTTTTTTAAAAAAAAATAGGACGAGATATAAGAAATTGAGAGAGAGAGAGAGAGAGAGAGAGAAGAAGTGGCGAGTTGAGGTTAATGAAAAAACTGAAGAAGAATACAATGATCATCATTACATATTACAGTATTGTAATAAAAACAAAATCTCGTTTATTGGCAGATAAATAGTTTATTTGGCAGATAAATAATATTTGTACCGTATGTGGAGTAATTTTCTCAATATATGTCAGAACATACTTCAATACATAACTAACCTCAATAACACAAGAATAAGAAAATAAAAAATCGCACCAGAAACAGAACTATGTCAGCCAACCCAGTTTTTTTCTTCAAAATCCAGAAAAATACAATATAAAATATGATCAGACCATACTTCAATACATAACCAACCCCAATAACAGTAAAATTATGAAGCTGTTAAAAACGAGATAAACTGCACTCTCGGGTACGCCTTTACCTTCCCTTCCCGCTCACTCTACGCTTGCTGTGCCACTCATTCTTGTTCCCGTTTATCAGATTCTTTTTAGCAGCAAAGGAGCATTGCCCATCCAAATTACCTTTAACATTCGTCTCTTGCTGAATCCTACGGCGCCTCATCCTATTCTCGATCCTCTTACCTCTCAGGGCTCGAACCCGCTGCTCAATATCCAAAGCCTGCGAAAAATTCCATATCCTAACAACGCCCTCCTCACCTCCACAAACAATACGATCAAAACCGATTCCAACCGAGAACAAATTACATCCAAAACCGTGCAACATTCTCTGAGGGGGCTCCACATTCTTCTGACACAAGTAGTCACCCCTCGAATCAGCATTCTCGGTGGAGAATCTTTTTTTGGTCTTCAGCAGCCCACGAACATCAATGAGTGAGATTCTCCCATCGCTAGAGGCCGACACAAGCCAGGGAAACTCAAAGGCAAGGGAGTGAACAGGTCCCGTGTGGGGAATCCAAGTCGCTATTTTTCGCGCGTTTTTGCACTCGGAGTTCCCAGTTATCTCAAACATGTGTATAGAACCATCCTCCCCGCCACTAAACAGAAGCTTTCCAGTGTGGCTTCTCGCAAGGGAATAGACGTTACCCCCATGAGCACCATTAATGACAACAAGCTGATTTCCCGTGTTAGTTTCCCAAATGTGGACACTCGAGCCAGCTGTGCTACCAATAGTGGTTTCGTGAGGCACGAGGCTCCAAACCCAGTCGTTATGCATCAACACCTTCAGACACTTCAAAGATGCACGGTCCCACAACCGCACGGTCATATCCCACGAACCGCTGTATATCCTGTTGAAATCCAAAGCGAGGCAAGTAATGGGACCCACGTGTTCCCATAGCCGAAACTCTGTGTTCTGATCGTGCGGTGGGCTGCTGATGTCGAACAAATTAGGATTTTCATCGTGCGCATGCCAACCGTGTATGAACCCATCCGTACCCCCAGCCACCAAGAGCCTTGAGTCGGCTGCAACTGCCCGTATGGTGCAACCTAAAGGCCGTGATGATGCAATGGACCGACCTTCCTCCATGTCCCACATTCTCACCACCTGATCATAACCTGAAGTAAACACCAGCTTCTTAGAAACCAACACGAAGACGGTCCTCACTGCTTCAGTGTGCCCGTAAAGCGTGTCTATACTGTAACGCCCCATGAACGTCTTGCTACGAAAATCCCGCTCGACGAATAGTTCTTTCCATGACTTGTCGTCTTGCGCCAACCCGATAGAGTTCACCGGATGGCCCCACCTCTCACTGTAGAACTCTTTCCACACGTGGTGTTCTGAGGCGAGCTTGTACAGAGATGTGTTGACACAAGAAATTGTCCCAAGTTCTTTTGGGTCAAGGAAATTGAGGATTTCAGACACTAAAGCCGGAGGAAGGTCAACGAAAGACCTGGGTGACTTGAAAAAAGGATCAGCAGAATGGATCCCAAGCTTGCCAAATGCACCTTGAAGATTTTCAGACCCCAAAGGTTCGAGCTTTCTGTTGCCCGTCAAACCGAGTTGCTCCGGGACGGCTTTTCCCACTTGAGAACTATCCAAGTGATTTGTTGAAGTGTCTCCCAAATTGTCTTGTGTATCCTTTTGGCATTCAAATGCCATAAAATGAACTTTCCCGAGTTTCGGATATATAATTGGCTAACAAAGAAAAACTTGGGCAAAAACCAAGCACTCAACAAAAAACACAAATCAAATCACACCCTCGAAGCTCAGAATCACAGCCTAATTAATAAACCCTTAATCGATTAGAATGTTGTTTCGAAAGGCGAATTCAAACTCTAGAGATAGGGGAAAAGCTGAATCAACGGTGTATAGAATAGATACAATTTCAAGGAGATTACTTACAGGGGCAGGCGAGAGGTATCACAAGAAAATTCAGATTAAATCGTTAAAAGGAAAAAAAAATAAAAAAAAATTATAACAATAATAAAACTATTACTTACGAAAACAAAGATTCTGCTGTGCTAAGCCGAGGATGAAATTCGAAGAAAAAACCCTAACTTCTGCCCGAACTTACTAAAATTTGGGAGGATAGAACTTTTAGAAGTACTCGATTGTGGTGGGTCGGGTTTGATGGGTCAATTTTTACGGATAGGACACATCACGATTATGAATTTATGGTGGAAGGAAAAAAAATGACTTCTTTTAAAATTCTCAAACCTCTTTTCAACTTCCTTCTCACTTTCTACCATTTTTTAAATTCTTCCTACTTCCTACCCCTTTAATAAACTTCCACTTAAATTTCTCCTATTAAAATAAATAAAAAAAATAATTTATTGCATCATCCCACTAACATACTCCATTTCTTATTAATTTATTATTTTTCTTACACCAACTATTACACAAATAATATTAGTTTAATGTAA